CGTTAAGGGTGGTACTATCCTTATTAATGAATAGTAACCATTGTTCACCCATTTAATCGAGCCCAATGCAAAAAGAGCGGTGAAAATTGCTTGATATTGAGGCTTGATGAAATAGATGTACAGTGCCTCGTGGTATTAATAATACTCTTAGTAGTAATTAATTTTAGATATTAATAACTATAATAATTGCTACATTTTCCGCTAGTTACACCTGTACACGTGAGCATTAATCGGACTAATAAATAATCATGAATAATTAATCAACAACTGCGGTTTCTATGGTTAAAACACTATTGTGTGTGTATTGGTTAAAACACTATTGTTTTTTTATTAGTGAACTATTATATTGTTAACTTACTCAGGTTTACTGATAGTTTTTATTCGTTGTTGTTAATGTATTTCGAAATGTTAGTAGCATTTTGTCAACTGTGGTTTTCTCTGCTTGTCGTAGGAAAGGACGTCGGCTCAGGGTGCCCTGGGAAATCGGGAATTCCGTTACCCGTGTTGGGGGCAAGAGTACGGACTCTCTCTCGACATCTCTGCGTCAGGAAAAGGGGGAAGTACCATGACTTTCCCGTTGTCCTTTACATTTGAAACAGTGACAGTTGTTAACAAGATTACAATTTGGGCTATTGCAGTATGTTTATGAGATTGTTAACGCGATACAAAAGCGTTGTACAGTAAACCATGAGCCTGCGAACATGAATGGTAACAATCGGATAATTCTTTGAGTCAATAAGATTGCTTTCGTAGATTTATATAATATTGTTGCTGGCTAATGGTGTAGTGTGTACAGGTTGTATTAGCCATATGTAATAATTCTAATATTTGCTAATTTTCTTGCTTAGTCTATGGGTCTTAACTCTAAATTATTCTAGTTTTTAACATCGCGTCTTTTAAACTCGATCTATATATACTAAACCTCGGCGCAGCTGTTCCCCGTTAACCTTTTGTATGTGTTAGTAACTATAAAATTGTTTTATTATTTTACGCTTCGAAAAGTATTTCATTTAGTTTCTTTTTCGGTTAGCATGGGCCAGCGTGCATGTATGTGAGTCATGCATGGGTGTAGTACCTTAGCTACGAGCAATCTTGTAGATGATTCACCTCTTTTCAGATGCACATTGGCCCCTGCGTTTAGTATTCTAAAATCGGCACGGAAAGTTTTGAAGCAAGGGAAAAAAAAAATCAATGTGGATACACCGATGTTACATGTAATTAAAAAGATAAAATTTTTTTTATTGATGTCCCAGGAGGATCAGGAAAAACATTACGTTTTCGAACATAATTTATTTTATTTTTTGTGGAAAAATAATTTTATTAATGGCGTAAACTAATATAACATAATTAATACTTCCAAAAATTGTGACCATTCATAAAACATTTTGCTTCCTATTAAATTTAATTTACGTAGAAAGTTCGTTTCTGGAATCCAACTCTGAAAAAAAATTTTAAGAAGTGTATTTAATTTTATTGGACAAGGCTTCTATAATCCCAAAAATGACTTAAAAATAGTCGAAAAAACATAACGTCAGAGATAAGTAGAGAGATTATTGACTGTAGTGCTACGCCACGAGCTTTTTTTTTTCCACTGTTTCGAGTGCGCTGTTAAGGCCAAATGGCTGAACCAGGAGCACATACTCTTTTTTATTTGAGAAGCGAGGAAGGGGTGTGTCGACTGTGTGCCGATGCATTTGCATGGAAATTGGCATCTAGGTGCATACTTTGGAGACGCGTTAAAATGGTATACTGAAGTAACCAGTACTGAAACTTTTAAAATTAAAAGAAACATCAAACGATGTTTTTGTTTTTTTCATACCTTTAAAGTGTAGGCAGTTGTACATTTGTATTCTTACAATCGAAAAAAAAGCAGTAGAAATGTTGACTACAGATATGACCGCATATAGCACAGCAAAAACAAGCAGCGAGTGCAAAGTGCGACGAGTTTCTTGCTATACTTCCTCAATGTGCTATGATGTCTGAAGTTTGGATAGCCGAGATGGCTAAAGCTTTTGCCGTTAGAGAGATAGTCTTACAATCCGGGGTTCGATTCCAATTGCCATCAGATTTTTTTTTAATGCTATTTATTACTCTATTTTGATTTTTTTATTACTTTTATTTGAATTTATCAATGTTGTCAACAGTTTTTGTCGGGCATGTCAAAATAAATATATTTTTAATACTAAGTCTATGAAATAGTTTATTACGGTGATAGATCTAGTTTGCAAGGTTATCTCATAATTTTATAATACTATACATTATTTTCAAGGATATGAGTAAAATTCAAACGTTTTAAGAATTCTAAGAAGTAATGAACAACTAGTTTACGAGAGAAAACATTCATGGCCCAAAAAAATTTACTTTTGTTTTAATAATATAATTAACGATTGTTACTAGCAAATTCCTATAATGTAATTTATTTTTAATTTAAAAAAATTAGTGCTAAATATTTTTTCATCGCCAGCACATGAGTATTAAAAATATATCAAAATTCTACAATTTAAATTGCCTTACAGTTCTGGCAATTTATTAATCAGTAGTAATGCCTGTTACGGAATTTATAATGCTTATCATAAATTAATTTAACTGTTTGAATTTAATAGTATTGATCATCAAAATGCACTTCTAACCATATCACACAAATTAGTTAATTCTTGTTTTCCAATTATAGTAGTGTTGTGTATAGTAGTATACAGTTTTGTTTCATGATAAGTTATCAAATTCCATCATAAAAGTCTGTCATACTTTAATGTTTAGTTGATAGATTCTATGATGCACAATTTTAAATTTTTGATTGCTTTCTCTTACAGTGGCTGTAATAAATGCATTTAAGTTTCATATATAAATAATGTCCATACAACTATTCCCTTATTTTCAATTGTAATTTAAGTCTTAATGTAATTTTATTTCGTAGAGCATGAAATAGCTTATTTTTGATTTGTCCTCATTGTATTAGGTTTCTAGTTATTTTTTTTATGTGCAATAGTCTTATTTTTATGAGATAAATATAGTACTATTCTTAACAAATTTTACTCATCAGAGGTTCTCATTTATATGTACTTTAATACGTTTACTACAGCAAAATAAATAAATCTAGTTTAGTTTGTTTTTAAAGAACTACGATTATTTGATGACAAAAAAAGTTAAATTGCAAATAGTGACTAAAACCTTTTACTTGCATTTTAACATAATGTAATAATGTTAAATGATATTTATTTTAATGCAACAGAACTAGTCAAACGTGTGGAGGTAGCTTTTTAAAGTGTTAGATAACTGAGTGGATTTTTTCAGGATTGTGCACTGCAAATTTGTTTATTGGCAACATTTTAACTTTTAATACAAGCTTTTATGGACAGAAATTGGCTTAGGTTCGTTTTTTTTTTTTTAATACAGAAATTTGCATAAAAAATAAAACATTTTGATTAATAAGTCATTAAAACCATATTAAAAGTTGTGTAGATATAGAAGATTTTTTTATTTAGCGTAAAATTTTATTGTTCAAAAAAATAACTTTGTATCCCTTTAGGATGGCAACAATAAAGCTATTTTCATGTTGCATATCGTAAAAGAAGTTTAATCATTTTCATTCAATACCAAAAATGCAGTTGTACTTTAAAAAAGGAATTGTTAGGTGAGTATAAGAAAAAGTCTTTTTAGAGTGATAGACTAGAAAGACCCTTTTCATATTTCCGAGAAAAATAGATCCTATTTTAACCAAGTGACATGAAAGAGTATTTTCAGCTTAATTTTTCTTCTCCCCGATTATAACGTGGCAATCTATGTATTTACATACATAAAATACTAAAGCATTAATTAATAATTTAAACTCTTGTGACCAGATAACATGAGGTGCTAACTTAATAATTATTAAATCAGTTAATTAGTAATTAATATAACACAAGTGATAATTAAGGTAACGTGAAGTACTTTCTGAACAATAATGACACTAATAAAGCAATAAAATGTATGGATAAAGCCGATCGTAAAAGTCCCGTGCCATTTCTTAATAAGCTCTTCTGTTATTAATAAATCTTTAATTAATTATATAACAACACGGCCGGTAAGCAAACTATGTTACCTAGAGATTGACCACAATGTTATTAACTAATGCCTAATTAATTTACGTATACATATTCATACTTGTATCACTAACTTGAAGTTAGAGAAAAAAAAATTTCACTGGAAGAGTTTTGAAGAGAACACTTAGTTTGAAAAAGCTCCCTCATGAATTTCCCTCTGAAATGACTCTTTCTTGTGCAGACCAAACAATATTATTCACAGGTTCAAAAAATAGTAAGACTTAAAAAATGAAAAAAATTAAATTACATCCTCATTTATTGATGAAAAGCCAGCTTTAGTTTAATCCATCCATAAGAGCATCGATTAATAGTCAAAATTTTATCAATAAACCTGAAGGGTTTTGGGTGAGGAAAATGAGGAGACAACTTTATTGATTTATTTTACGAAATTGTTTATTTAACTGACTTGACAAAAAATAACTGACGACTGACTAACTGACTTTTTATATGCACAGACTTATAAAATAGAAAAGAGAGCTAAATGTTACATGTGCACTTGACTACGGTCAAATCAGAACTGGCTCACACCTGACTGGCGCTGTACGTGCTTCTCCTCTAACACAAACACACATACGCTAGAGCAGACGCACGTGCCTACAGCCTATCGATACAGTCGTGCACTTCAACACTCCCTCCTGACTTGAGATAGCTAAAGAGTTATAAAAATACAAAAATAGATATTAATTTAAGTCACACAGTATTAATATTTTAATATCGATTTCCCATGGCACTGGTACCACAGGTCAAACAGGCCAGGAATCATGGTCGTCCGATGAGCACCTTAGTTCTTGTCTGAAACAGAGTGTGTCATATTAATCATTTATTTTAGTTACAGACTACATAAGAAATAATTTTTCGTGGAGCTCGATAGGCAAGGGTTTTGTAAAAATGTCTGCCGTTTGTTCTTTGGTACTTAGCCACCTTACAGTTACTCTGCCATAAGTCACACATTCTCTGATATGATGTTCGTGAATTTCTGTCATGTGTCTCAATTTCCCGCTTCCACTTATTTTAAAATTTAATTTCACTGCCTTATTATCACACCAAAGATCAGCTGGAAAACAAGTCTTGCTTAGGATGATTTTGAGGGAATTGTCTACTGCCATCAATTCTCTACATGCTTCACTTGGTGCCACGTATTCAGCCTGATATGTTGACAATGCTACGTAAGTCTGCTTGTGAGTTCTCCAGGCTACAGAATCCCCGAAGAGTTTGATGACATACCCGCTCGTAGTCAGCGAGCCCTTGCAATCACCAAAACTGGCATCCGAAAAGGCTTCTAAGTTATCCTGCCTTCCTAAAAACCTTAGACCAAGAGACTTAGTACCTGCCAAGTATCGGAACACTCTTTTGACCATGTTCCAATCTTTATCAGTTGGATTTATCTGATGTTGGCTGAGTACATTTACAGCATAACTGATGTCTGAACGTACAGTGTTGGCTACGTATTATAGACAGCCCACAGCCTCTCGGTAAGGAACATTTTCTGTCGATTTTGTTTCCTTTAAATTATCCAGCCTTTCAGATTGTTCTCTTCGTTTTCTTTACTGATTCAACACATGTCCAGTGACCATGGGCGTTTTCACGGGTTTTGAAGTTTCGAATCCAAATTTAGCCAAAATTTTATCCATATAATCAGTCTGAGTCAAGGTTAAGACCTGCCTCTCCCTGTCTCTTCTAACTTTGATACCTAGAAAAGATTCAACTTTACCGAGATCCGTCATCTTCAATTCGCTTAGCAAACTTTCTTTGAAAGACTTTAAACGATTTGGATCATTACTTGCAGAAATCTTATCATCAACATATAGAACTAAAATTAGAATTTCGTCTGCCTCGTGCTAAGTAAACAGGCATGGTTCTAAAATATGTGACTTCAAGCCTATTTTAATAGTTGCTTCCAAAAATCTTTCATGCCATTTTTTAGGACTTACATTTAGCCCATACAAGTCTCTTTGCAGTTTACACACTTTATTCTGACGTTCTTAGTCTGTGCAGTTCAAGCCTCTAGGTATCTCCATATATATTTCATCATCAAGGGTACCATTCAAGAAAGCTGTTTTTACATCTAGCTGACATGTATCCAGATTTAATTTATTTTTTCTGATCAAGGTCAATCTCGACACTGGAGCGTAAGTTTCTATCAAATCGTATTCATTTTTATCTTTGAATTCTTGAATTATCAGCCATGCCTTGTATTTTTTCTGCCCTTGAGAGTCGATCTTTTTCTTAAGTACCCAGCGAGAGTCTATTATATTTGGGTGCCTGCCGTTTATAAGACCCACAGGTCTGTCTGTAAGAATCCATACATCGTGTTTCGCCATTGAATCAAGCTCATCTTGTATCGCTCGAATCCGGCCTTCCCGATCTGCTGCCTTTATTGCTTTTTTGCATGAAGACGGGTCTTCATTTATTTCAGCCAGAATATAACTGGATTTTTACACTTTAGTTCCATATCTGCCATGTTTTCTTCTAACGCTGTTGACTTTTTTGGCCGTCCTTGTTTTCTTCGTACGACTGGAGGCTCTCCCTCCAATGTTGTCATATTTTCCCTTTCTTTCTTGAAGATCAAAAACCACTCATATAGTTTTATATCTACTGTCACGTTCTCCCAGTTTTTAATCGAACTTTTGCCATATATGTCTCCATATTCAAAACGTTCGTTTAATCTGACGTCCCTACTCTCGTAGAATTTTCCTTCGTCAGGACAAAGCAGCCGATACCCTGTGGGTGTGTAACCCACCATAAATGCTCTCTTCCCTTTGGCCTGGAATTTTGTGTCTGTATTTTTCTGAGCTCTCATATAGTAGACACAACCAAATCTCTTCATCTGACTTATATCTATCCTTTTGTTTGGCACAAGCTTCGCCAAAGGGATTTCCATGTTATTTGAACGATGCGGAGTGCGATTGTACGCAAAAACTGCCGCGTTCAAGGCCAAGTCCCACACATTTTCCGAGAGTCCCGAATCATACATGAGAGCTCTGACTTTCATTTGAATGGTTTTACTCAGCCTTTCCAACGTGCCGTTTAACTCGGGGGTATCCGGACAGCTCAACTAGAGTTCCGCTCCAAGACTATCTAACACCTTTCGGGTGGATCCTCCCGTGAATTCTGTGCCCTGATCTGACCTTAGATAACACACTTTAGTATCATATCCTAACAAATTTTTACAGCCTTTGACAAAGATAAATCTGTACCCTTTCGGAAAAGACGACGGACTTATTACTCCCATTGTGTCTGAATGGCTGATCTGAGGTGGTCTGGCTGCTCTTTCTCGCACAGAGGGGAAACGCAATTTTTGAGACTTTGTTCTCAGACACACGTCACACGTCCTTATTGTGTCACTAAAGACAGCCTCTTTCAGACTTTTAATATCCGGGTATGCTTTCTGCAATTCCCTGAGATATTTTAGTGATGCATGTCCCAACCTGACATGCCACAGCAGAGCCCCGTTATTTTCTTTAAATATTTTATATTTTTTAGAGAATGGACTCTGCACTTCGTTTATTAACTAAGTCTCGACTGTCCCAACATCATAAGATTTTCTATCTTGCATCAGAAACACGTCGTCAAAGAAACTATCATCTAAATCTACCCTTCCGATCGAGCTCTTCGAGTTATTTGTTAAGTTCATGCTTTCCGGAGTTGAATTTTCAGGACTAGTTTGTGCTTCTGAATCCGCTGTCAGTATTTTCATTCTTTTACCACTTTCGATATGTCTTTGACCCGGCTTTCTAATGTTATCCGACTTAATGAATTCGACTGTCCAGTACGGTTTTTGATATATTCCTGATATCCAGACATTTTCTGTTTCAGGGTCGAAGATGCTAATCTCTTTATCATCTAAATAAATGGACAGACCCATGTCAGCAAATTTACGTAAAGAAAGTAAATTCCCGATGAAGTCCCGAGCACAAATTACTCCGTTCAACTCAATCTCGTTGTTACTATTTTTAAGTACCATCCTTCCCACTCTCTCCGTTTTCAAATCTGCAGATGAGTCTGAATTTGCACATTTTATTTTTCCAATTTTTCTTCTTTCAAGGTTTTCAAATAATTCTTCCAAATATTAAAACGGTCAATCGCTCCTGAATCGGCGATGAATTTAATTTTATCAGTCTCATCTGATTCTGAATTATTTACCCAATCTGCAGAGTTCGAAAACAGAGTTTTGAGAGGCTCGATCAACGACAGAGACTCACCTTTATTTGAAACCGACGCGTTTTGTTTTCCCTTAGTATTTCGGTTCTGGTCAGAAAGTTTCTGTCTTTTAGAGTCTCTTTCATCTCTAACATTGCTAGAGTTTTTTTTTTTGGCCAAAAACCCGGGAATTTGAGCAGCCCCGGCCACGGCCACCTCGGCTTCCTCGGCTTCCTCGCCCCTGTCTTTTAAAATCCCATGAATCTGACTTAAGTTGCTCACCACATCTTGGGCTGCACTTCTTGTGGGCTGGTATGTCGTTTACAAAAGTGCCACAGGTGTAGCACTTTTTAAGCCCGGTTCCAGCCGTCGGGCATTGGTCGGCCATATGATCCCAGTCGTCACAGTTAAAAAACCGAAGCCTATCCTCGTGGGTCGGCCTCCGGTTGCTTCTGCCTGGCCTTCAGACTCAACCTTTAATATGTACGACATAAGATTTTCGTACGTCATACCCTTTCCGTCTTTGCTTTGCATTTTAAGGGTGAAATCTGTCACCTGTACGCTAGGTACCACTCTAATCACAGCGGTATAAAAAGCATCTCTCTTTTTTCTTCAGAAAAGGGATCAGGCGTACTTATAACCTCATAGTTTCTCACCAATTCTTCAAACCTTTTAATAAATTTAGACGCCAATTTTTTCCCTTTATTAAATTTGATTTCGTGCAATTTTCTCTGAATCGCGGACGTAGTGATAGGTGTTTCTCCCCTTTTTAAATCTTTCAGACTTTCTAAAATTTCAATCGGGTCTTGCAATCGCAATATTCTGAGATGATATCTCTCAGCTACTTTGTTTAATAGTAGATCCCGGACTTTTATCTTATCATTACGAACCGCGTCTTCACTTATTGACTCTCAGTTTTTAATCGAAGGATCTATAATAACATGCAGTAGTCCCTTTGACCGGAGTTCTGGCTTTAATTTATCGTAAAAGACTTCAAATTTAACCTCTTTAGTTAGGCTATAATTAAAGAAATTTAGAGATTCACGCCCGAGTCTTGTATTTATTGAGTTTGAAATGGTTGTAGCAACAAGTTCCGTGCCACTTTTGGATATACTATCTGCCTTTGTTTCATCAAAGAAATTTTTAAGTTTTTCTTTTATGCTAACCTGGTTTCTTCCAGGTCTTGGCGTGGAGTGCGAGGGAGGTCCAGGGGTAGCCAGTGCCTCGAGTCTCACCAGCCTTTCATTCCACCTACTCAGCCTTTGATCAAAATTTTGTAGGACTGATTAGAACTCCTCCCTTGCCCGCTCCGCTTCTTGCCTTTCCTCTACCATCTTCTTTCTTTCCTCTACCGTCTTCTTCCTTTCCTCTGCCACTTTCCTCCTTTCCTTTGCCGTCTTCCTATTTTCTTCCTCTTGCCTTTTCAACATACGGTCGAGTTTAGCCATCAGGTTTTCCAGCCTTTGCGTTGGACTGTTTTCTGCAATTTTTGAGAATCCATTTTCATCTGACGTCAACTGCCGTTCAAGTACTGTCTTTGAACATTTATATTTATTTGGCACCGTTTCTATTTTCTTTATACTTGTTCGCTGAGTTTCACCTGTGCTTAGTTTAAAAACGGTTTCTGCTCGTTTTTCCGACGTATTCTCAATGCCTGCCATTCTGTCTAACTTAAATTTCTCGTCATGTTTTCTGCCATTACCGATGGCATTTAGAGCATCAGTATCAGACATTTTATAAACTGACTTAATTTCGTCAACTGTCTTATTCACATCGACCAAATTTACAAATAACCCGGGTTCATTTTGAGCAGAATTTCCATTTTCGAAATCTTCCTTAAAAAGATCTCCTAGTAGTGTTAGTTTTCCGCCCTTAAGTTCAAGAAAATTCAGCAAGTACAAAACGTCGTTTTCAATCAGGAATTCTACAACATAACAAATATCAGGAGTCTTTAGAGAGTTAACCTAGACTGACTGAGCGCAAGTCGTTTCTAGTCACTCGGCCCGGTGCACACAAACGTGCTCGAACACAAAGCACTGTTGTGTGCTGGGCACCTACACAGTCCTGCGTAGCTGAACACAAGCCTCACGTGACTGTGCAGGTCACAGCGAAAATTTTAAGAATATATTTCACACCTTCGACGTTTATAATATCACTCCCGACACGGGCCCTAATGCAGCTTTCGTCCGCCGATAACACGACTTCTGAATCTCGTACATTTGGCCCTACGCGCAGACAAATGTTATGACAAGCTCTTGACAGAGCATCGAAAGTCCGCTCATCTAAAAGAAATTTGCTGCCTTTTATACAGAAAATATTACCGGACCATCTCTCATCTTTAATTAACATGAGGTATCTGCCTTTGTTATGTCAATCCCAGAGTGTTTATGTATCACCCTTACTGACTTCTTTTAAGCCAAAAATAAAACACCAACCGAGCACGCACACGGTTACTACGCCGGAAACCGAGACAGAGAATTATTTTTGGTTAGAAATCACGCATCGCTGTACAATGCGCGCCAGGGCATGTGGTCTTCTATTAGTAAGACAGAGACCGAACGCTTTCTCTCTGCTCGTTACCTCC